GATGTAAACAAAAGTGAAAAGTATGGGTATAGTGAGTGAGTGGGTGAGTGATTATAATTTTATGCCGCATTTAGCAATATTCAAACAATATCACGGCGGGGAACATCGGAAATGGACTTTTAACCACTAGGCTACCACACCGCCCCTTCTACATGTGTAACACATGATGTATGCGGTGTGCGAAATAGCCACTGGTCCGCTAGCCCGTGACTGGTAGAAATCCAGTCGGGCCAATAAATTACCACAGTCACTGGCCCGGCTGGATAGTGAATTTTCATGGGGTCATTTTGTAAATATATCACTCTCTCCGACTTGTTAAGTTATAATACACTTTTAAATCATGCAAGATTATGATCTGATAAAAATGTTCATCACATTAGCAGCTTAATGATGACTTGTTTGACATACAAACTATTTCAGAAATTCAGACATGTCTTTTCTTATTTGTTTGTGATGGTATTTTACCTTTTTGTAATCTTTTGCTTAGTTTCTACATTCAAATTTCGGGGCTAGTGAATTAGTAACTAGCTCGAGGGACTAGTAACAACTTTCAGGCATAGCTAGCCCGACTGGCTAGCACAACTTTGAAACTACCTCTCACCCTGGATGTATGAATATATATGAACAGAACGGTGTAACATATGATATTAGAGAAGGATAGTATTTGTAAGGTGGTCAGGCACGAACGAAATAATATATGTGATGAACGTTTTTCTGGAATACAACAGAAAATCAGGTTGGAACTACTTTAAGCCTTCTTCAGTGAGTGAGTGAGTTTAGTTTTACTCTGCACTCAGCAATATTCCAGCTATATGGCGACGGTTTGTAAATAATCGAGTCTGGACCAGACAATCCAGTGATCAACAGCATGGGTATCGATCTGCGCCATTGGGAACCGAGCCTGACCACCCGATCCCGATAGTCGCCTCTTACGTCAAGCATAGGTTACTGAAGATCAATATCCTAATCCGGACCTTTACGGGTACTTCTTCAGTGACATTTTGGAGTAGGACTACGTGATATACAAAACAGAGGTATGCTCGTAATCTGTGACCTGACAAACAGCATCAGCTTTGTCAAATCGTCATCTCCCGTTGACATAAACCGGTTTTACATGGCAGTATTCTGTAACTATTCAAGAGCTTGTTCGTGCTCTCTACGGAGTCTTACCTGTTGAAAGAAAAACAGTCATCCACAGACAATCCATGTCCAGGTCTACAGAGTACAATTGTATAAGATTAAATTATCTTTTCTTTTCCATTACAGTTTGTATTTCTGTTTACAATCCCGGCTGCATGTGTTGCTATATCACCACAAGTGACCACCTATTTGGGTCCTTGTACCTCTTCTGAGCTGTACCCTGCGTTCTGAGTTAATCACAAATCCCCTGCCGATAATTCCACGCGGATTATCTCGACTTGCAAGCTCTCAAGGTGGTTGCGAAACTGTAGATTAATATCCCAGCGTTCTTCCATGCATATCTTGCAAGCCTCCAAGTCATACTAAGGGCATATGCTTATAAACATAAAGGGCAGGATAATAAGATTTGTCAACAGACATTGTATGCTAATAATGTAGATTTGTAGTACCGATTCACACGTCAACGTTCAACCCCTGTGACGCAAGTTTAACGTCGTTCAGGGTCCCGATCCACGTTAAGCTATAGAATAACGACAGGTCGTAACATTACGAACAGGATCGGAAACCTGGCCTACTTGTTCGGCTGGTAGAGATATGGCCAATTGTTCTTGACCGGTACCTTGAAGTGTCTCTATGAGACAGTAATGGTCAGTGACCTTGAGGTTTCATGCAACCCCAATATGATCCCGTATGTCGTAATCTTGTCCTGAGAGGCATTGTTTCCAAAACCCTTTTCTTATTTTCATCGGTCCTAACATTTGTTCATACATACGTGCACACCAGTGAATTACATATGGAATGTACAATACACTGTACGCCTGTACAATACACTGAGTTAGTGAATGGGTGGGTTTAGTTTTACACTGCTTCTAGTAATATTCCAGCAATATCACGGCAGTGCACACTAGAAATGGGCTTCACACATTGTACCCATGTGGGGAATCGAACCCGGTCTTCGGCGTGACAGGCGAACGCGTCAACCACAAGACTACCCAACCGCCCAGATTACAATACAAAACAGCGAAAAAATAACTAACATATAAGACAGAGAGACCCGTGAAGATCTGGGTTAGAATTTATCTTCAACAGCCAATGCTTGTAAGAGGCGGGTAACGGGATCGGATGGTGGTATTCGCTGGCATGGTTGATGCACGTTATCGTATCCAAACTGCGTAGATCGATGCTCATGATTTCAATCACTTGGTTGTCTGTCAGCAGTCGCCTCCGGGCAATCAAAGAGAGGACGTTGCTAGAATTATCAATCAGTGGTTTGTCTGGTCTAAATACCGTGATTATGTATTGTTTGAACATTGCGGTGTAAAATAAACAAACAAATATATATGCGTCATTCTTTTCGCGTATTTCAAACCAAGCTGTTTCAAACTGATTCAGGGCCCAGTGGTTAAAGTGTTCGCTCGTCACGCCGAAGACCCGGGTTCGATTCCACACATGGGTACAATGTGTGGAGCCCATTTCTGGTGTTCCCGGCGTGATATTGCTAAAACCATACTCACTCACTCAAAATAATTCAGCTGAATGTTCTATTTAATATTCTGTTTTGAGTAAAAGTCACGATATGGCTGAAATACTGCCGCTGTAAAACTCACTCACTCACTTTAAGAGTAAATTGTATTATATTTAGTCCTAGAAGAGCTAGTGTAAAGAACATCTCACTCTTAAAATCAAAATTACCGGTAAACCTTGGTTAAGTCTGCGCTTGTCACGCGGGTTGAGTCCCCGTTCGTACGGTTTCTTTGTCTTAAGCGAATGTTCTGTTTACCCAATCGTAATATTACTACCATACCATAACACGCTTTTCCGGGCACTGTCTAATAAATCTAATATTAATGCTGATACCAAAGGTTGACCTTGAAAACCATAAGCACGTGTCCAACAGCAAACAAGCATGACTGTTTGACTCTTCATCAAAGCGCAGTGGTCAGTTTAACCACGTGGGGTCAACAAAAACACTTTTTGCGCCAGGGGGTCAGCTTCCGTAAACACATTGTTTTTTATAGAAGGTCTGGACATTCAACATACTTCCTGTAACCCCAGCGCTCACTCGAACGAGGAAGACAAATAACCAGGTAATGGTGAATAAATCAAAGGGAGGTAATTGAATAGGGGGAAATATATCAAAGGGAGGTAATCGAATTGGGGAAACTGATGACTTTTGAAGGACACCAAAGCGTTTACGTTTTCTTGTCATTTACATCTAGCATGTCACCAGCAAATGTTACCACGACTTGCTGTTGTGGACTTGCTGCTGTATCTTCGACGTCGTTTCCTTTGCGTTGCTGTACTGACGCTCTTCCTACCCCGGGTGTGTCTGGAGAATGTCACCGTGTCGCCTCACCCCCCGGAGCAGTGTTTCCAAGACAACACACTGTGTGATCTCCCCACCCCTACGAAACTGGTTGTATCGTTCGGAGGTCGGAGACTGCGATGTAATGAAATTGTTTCTCGCGATGACGCCATTGACGTTCCCGAAGTGCACTACGTGGACGCGAAAGAGGTATTAGTATTGTGTTCGTGTTCGCTAGGGTAGCCTAGTGGTTAAAGCGTTCACTCGTCACGCTGCAGACCCAGGTTCGATTCCCTACATTGGTACTATGTGTGAGGCCCATTTCTGGTGTCCCCCGCCGTGATATGGCTGGAATATTGCTAAAAGCGGCGTAAAACCAAACTCTCTCACACTTACTCTTGAAGGCATATAAGACTCTATACCTAACTTCACTTTTGACTGAATGGAAAAATCTAAATCTTAACGCACATTCAAATTTCCTTTAAAACTAGAAACCTGATTCTGTTAACTATAAATTGTCAATTTTTAAAAATGTAACAAAGTATTACATAGCGTTTTGTTATTTTGCCCTCTTCGGATATAGACATAAATACAAAGTATGTTTAATAAAAGACAGCATATGCATCAATGTCGATGGTCGATTTTGTACGATAATCATGGAAAAATATTTTGAGACGTTTTATCAAGTGGACCGGCCTAAAATGTGTGATTCCAGCACACGATAAAATTAGAAACAGTGAATTAGTTTTACGTCACTTCTTGCAATATTCCAGCTATATCACGGCGGGGGACGCCAGAAATGGGCTCTACACATGTGGGGAAACGAACCCGGGTCCTCTGCGTGTCGAGCGAACGCTTTAACCACTAGGCTACCCCACTGTCCTTACATGAATTCCAAATAAGGGAAAATAGCTAGTAGTGTAAGCGAATGGATAAGACACGAAGGGCTCTTCTTTTAGTTCAGCTCATTCAAGCGAAGACTTTATTACAACCGTAATCTTTGTTGCTGGCTTTAATCTAGTTTATTTACAGTCTGCTGTGTTTGTTTGTTTGTTATTTTACGCCACATTCAACCTTATTCTAGCTATATGACGGTGGTCTGTAAATATTCGAGCATGGGCCAGAAAACCCCGTGATTGATATCTTTCGTGTCGATCTGCGTAGTTTGGATACGATGAGATGCATGAATCAAGCTAGCAAGCTTCCGATCTGGTTGGCCGCCTTTTAAAATGCAGTCTCCTCTTATGACAAGCATGGGTTTGTTGGAAACCAGTTCAATTCCTAATCCTCACGTGTTTCTTGAGATCGAGCTGGCATAAATGATGCAAGTATCAAAATCTCAGATATGTCCATATTTTCAGAAAACAAAATTCTTTGGCAAATTATACTTTCTTTTGACAAGAAAGTCAAGACACACCACACAATAAAAACAAAGCTTTTCGTCTAGTGTTTTGTGAAACAAGTCAAGGTTTATAAGCTGGAAAATGTGAAAATGTACCTGTGTAAAAGATTAATCATATTTGTTTTGGGGGATTCTTTTTTTAGAACCAGCTTTACCTGTTGATCATGATTGATCCTGATGCACCTTTCCCATGCGCTCCGCCCGACGTCACCATGGAGCACATTCTACACTACGTTGTCATCGTGACTGGCGTAAGTTTCCGTATGGTTTCAACTAGTGATATGCAAATAGTGACCTATATCTTGAACGCATTGGTGTGTACAAGCTGACAGGTTTATTCCACAAGCCCTTGTGTCTGAATTCTCATATATCTCTATATCATATCAATGTATCTAGTACCCGTAGAGATAGGCGTTAGAATTAGCCCTCAGCGACCCATCCTTGTCGTAAGAGGCGACTAACGGGATCTGGGAACCGTTTCACGAAGCTTGTAAGCCTAAGCATACACCTACGATATATCTTACGATACCACGCTGAGGACGTTCACGAAAGTATCTTTGCACTATCATTGTCAAAACTTACGGTAACTTTTAGCTATGGAAATGCGAACTCTTGGTGGTCAGGATTGCTGAATTGATTCATGCATGGCATCGTACCTCATCCCCAATAGCGAAGATCAACGCTCAGAACAATCACTGGATTGTCTCGCCTAGATTCGATTTTTCACAGACCTCCGCCAAGCAGCTGGAAAATTATTGAGTTTGGCATTAAACAGCAAACAAACACATGTATCTGGAATCAATAAGCAACGATACAAAGTCCTGGAATTGAGATTTTGCTAACATTTATTCGACTGCGGGTTCAAATCATGCAATACAAACAGTTTGAATGGCTCAGTACATTTTCACATGATCTTGATTTAAAACATATTAAAATTTAAAAGTGACCGGAAGCATGTATGTCATCAATAACTCAAAAATGAGATATTTATAGTAGACTTGGCCGTGGGAAGTATCGATTCGACGTAAACGATCTGTTTTTGAGGAGATTCATTTACTTATAACAAATAACACATAAATTTATATACGTTCTGGTGGAGTGATCGTTGGTCATTACAAATTCAATGTAAATCCGTTGATTCTGATACAGTGCAATTCAAACAATAAACGCCATACACCTTTCGTCTCATAAAAGTAACCAAGTATTTGAATTTTCACACATTTAAACCTTCTATTTGGCTGCTTTTCGTTTTGAAGTGTCTGTTAATCTCAAACGGGGTATTTAACTAAGGCATACGTCATTCATATCAGATCTTAGAAAAGCCATATTTAGGTTATTCTTGTCTTTAAAACCAGTACAATATACACCATATAAACATCAATAACTTAAAAAAAATATTTTTCAGATTAAAGGCGTGCTCTTCCCGGAAAGAAATATGCTCAGTAAGTATGTCGGTCTCGTGAAGTAACGGGTAATGTGTTCTGTTTTTGCTTGGGAGTGGCGAGAAGTGGGTGCGCGTTCATTCAAGTGAAACATGAAAGACTGTCAGGGCGGGGGACACCAGAAACGGTCCTCACACAATGTACCCATGTGGGAAATGGAACGCGGGCGTGACTTGCGAACGCTTTAGCCACTAGGCTACCAAACTGCCCCATGCTTGTCTCGGTAATTTACTTAGATGTGTAAAACAGTGTAATTTCCCTGTAATTATAAATACATATATGAATTTACATTGAAGTTACCACCTGTTATCATAGTCTATCTTACAACAATTTGCCATTTGTATAATGGGTAAGGGGCGGTGTGGTAGTCTAGTGGTTAAAGCGTTCGCTCGTCACCCCGAAGACCCGGGTTCGATTCCCCACATGTGTACAATGTGTGAAGCCCATTTCTGGTGTCCTCCAGCCGTGATATTGCTGGAGTATTGCCAAAAGCGGCGTAAAACCATATTCAGTCACTCACTCACTCTCAGTCGAGCTTTGATGTATCCAACTGACGGTTGTGTATTAATTCTTCCTTTTATCTTCTTTTGCGGTTGTGTGGAACCTCGGATTACGCGAAGTATTTACGTACAGCTTGTTCAGCTTGACCTGATCAAGTGAATACTAATGGATTGCGTGACCGTGTCACAACTGGCTGGGTCTATTATTGTGAAGGGGTGCACCTTTGTCAGTTGATTGTCAACATGTCCGAACAGCCAAAACAAGGTCGCCGTTTGACATCTCAGTGTCGAGAAATCAATGTCCTAACTTTCTTTAAAAAAGAAGCTACAGATGGCTTAATGTTTCCGATTCGGGCTTTTGGGCATTAATAACATTCTCTGCTCCCCTATTTAATAAAGTTAACTCGGCCTGCTGTTTGTGCCATTTGACCTCCCGGGTCATGCATATGTAGAGTAGCTCAGGTCAAGCTGAACAGGCTGTAGGTCCCTTCAACTTCGACTCTATTTCAGGTGTTCCCGGTCGTGATATTGCTGGAATATTGCTAAAAGCGACGTAAAGCTATGTATACTCAATCACGCTTTATCTTCGACACAACAGCGCTTAACATTTAACTGAAAATGAGGTAACTTTGAAGAACCTACGTCTTATCATTAATGTCCACATTCATTTTTGAGTGCGTGAGCATAGGTTTACACCGCCTTTAGCAATATTCCAGCAATATCACGGCGGGGGACACCAGAAATGGGCTTCACACATTGTACCCATGTAGGGAAGGGAGCCTGGGCCTTCGCCGTGGCGAGCGAACGCCTCAACCACAAGGCTACCCTACCTCCCCATTTTGCAGGATACATTTGTAAATAGAATAATACCCATGCGTGCTGCTGCAGCGTACATAACGCATATCGGGAACACAAACTATTTATTAAACTTCCCAATTTAATTGTCTACTGCAGTACCATTTTCCCCACACAAACTACGATCGATAAGGTAACCAATTGAGCCTGTTCTCCAGTGACACTGAATGTGAGACGATGTTCCTGTGCATATGGTAATCACTTCACTGATCCGCTTCCAGATTATCACGCACCAGCGCCACCAAGAGGAATACACCGGTACCAGTTCTACCTGTTCCCGTGGGCAGGGCCACAATTTCTGGATCTGGATTACAACTCTCCGTCTCAAAGATCCGGTTTTAACCTAACGACTTTTGAAAACGCAAACAAGTTACAGCAACCGGTTGCAGTATTCCAGTTTCGGAGTCAACATCATGTCTCCATATACCTGTACAGTCTTCTGTTGCTCGTGTTTTTTCTTCTGTTTGAAGCAATCGTCGGACTCACACAATTTGTAACATCTCGCATAAAACCATAATGTCGAAATTTCCAACCAAGCATTCTTTATAAGTGATTGATGAAAACTACCGTTTATCATAATGTGTTTGTATATAAATGCTCATGACGTCGACCTCTGGATTGTCTGACCCAGACTCGATCACCTACATACCATATAAGTGGATAGTCATGTACCGGTAGCTGAAAAATTGATGATTGCGACGTTAAAAAACAAACGAATAACAAACAAACAAAACTGTTTTTATAACGGTGAAAAATGCTAACATGTTACATTTTGCCGTTTCTCAGTTCTAGATATAAATAAGAGAAATGTATTTATTGGCGTAACCTGGGCAATGAAACGGATATTAGCGTTTTGCATTATTATTACGACATGGAACAATAAGGCACTTAACCAATTGATACTGTCAGTTTGTGAGTGAGTGAGTGATTTCGTGAGTGAGTGAGTTTGGTTTAACGCCACTGTTAACATAATTCTACCCGTGAAGATCCGGTGTGAGTGAGTGAGTTTGGTTTTACGCCGCTTTTAGCAATATTCCAGCAATATCACGGCGGAGACACCAGAACTGGGCTTCACCCATGCGAGGAATCGAACCCGGGCTCCAGCGTGATGAGCAAACGTTTTAACCACTAGGGTACCCCATAGCTCCTATCCTAACGAAACATGATGCTATTTACATCCTGTTGCTTCAAATCACTACAACTGAACTACTCCAATAACAATACAACGATTTGCAGCTTTGAAACACAATAGTGTTAAGGTAAATATACATGATGGCCTAACATCAGTCGGACTTCTTCGAGAATCCATTGAACCAGGAACCATGCGTACATATCATGATTAAATATTATATTACTTCCTCCTTCTGGTCACAAAGTGTTATGTTTGGATGTTGCGGCCCAGGGCTTTCCAACTTGAAGGAAGAATAGATGTTTTATGTTTCGACATGTTCGTCGACGCTGCAGTCAGAAATATTCCACCCTTATCACCGCGACCAGTATTAAGTCAACAGAAGCCTGTCGAGATGCGGCCCGTTAGAAGATCCGGGTTAGAATTGATCTTCAGTAACCCATGCTTGTCGTAAGAGGCGACTAACAGGATTGGGTGGTCAGGCTCGCTGACTTGGCTAACAATTGCCTAGATCCGTGCTCATGCTGTTTTCAGATTGTCTGGTCCAGACTGGATTATTTACAGACCGTCGCCATAAAGCTGGAATATTGCGGTGGCGTAAGACTAAACCCACTCACTAACATTATTCAAGTGGTTTTAAGCGTGTCATCTAGTGTAGGAGGGAATCCTGAAGTGATTCCAGCCCCAGAGGTTTACCACTTTCATGAAACTCTCGAGACCAGCCACATGGTGCTGACAAACCAAGTCAGCAAACATCTGGGCGATCCGGGATTCGATCTCGGAGCATTCGATTGCATCACCGACAACTGGGCCACCGGTATCGCCACCCATCACCGGTCAGTGTAGACAGCGTTCCACCAACATCGTGGATACGTCGTTTGTGAAACATAGTCGCGCTTTCCACCTTTCTGTCTGTATTTTCGATTTCTGATGATTAAAATAATTCACATGATTCTGGTCGTGCCATTATATAACCTGTCAGATTCTATTATACTTTTCAAAAAAGAAACGAATAACCCAAAAATCTGTTGCGAAAATGATGTATTTTTAAACATCTATAACTCGTCCACAAATAGACTTTAGGAAATATATTGTTGCATCAGTTTAGAAGAAGGAAATGTCTATACAACCAATTTTAGATAACGGAGACGTTGAGCGCCATGGTGACGACGTAGCTCGGGCCCTACGTCGGATCTCCTGGCTCACAGTCCAATCTCTCTAAACCTGTTCCGTACAGTTTGACCGAATATCCTCCGAAGTCCAGGCACCCTGGCTGCTATGCTCTCACCCCCGGCAGTACGATCACGCTAATGTAGTACCCGGATGTACCGATCTTGGGCTGCAGTGGTGACTCGAGGTCTGCCTGTACGGGGAGGGTCACTTGTTATGCCTGTTTGAATGTAACGAGTTGTAAGCCGTGATATCGTACTCAGACTAACATTCAGACGCCTGGCAACAGAAGATTGGTAATCTCCAGCGTGCATTCTTTCAATTGCGATGTTCCGTGTCGCAGCGTCAAGGCGTGGCGTTGTGATTTGACCTTGAAACTCCTTCAAAACGAATGGCGATTTCCGAAAGTAATCTGGATTTTTATTTCCTGACAGTACATGCAGCAATATCGCGGCGGGGGACACAAAAAATGGGCTTCACACATTATACCCATGTGGGAATCAAACCCGGGCCTTCAGCGTGACGAGCGAAATCTTTAACCACTAGGCTACCTCACCGCCCTTATCCGTGAATGACGTAGGTTGTGTCTAACGATGCTTTGAAATGTATTTCAGTTATAGCTCGACGTTCCAGCTTTAAGTGGGTGAAAGTTTAAGTGATGCAAATTTCAGAAGTGTATCTTTTTGTAAAAACCACAGCGCGTGTTCGTGGTGGATTCGAACCAGTGATCATAAGTTCCTGGTTCTTTGTGTGATGATGTGCGGTTTCACGCTTTATTGACCCAGTGAACCCTCGATCTCACTAACATATAGACTTTACACATCCAACAATTCAACCATATTGCGGCGCTCTACTACAAGAAGCCCATGCAGACATTTCCGAAACGTTACTTCAGTTGGCTGTCTTCTGAAAAGAAATACAGACGTACTAATAAAGTACATACCTGGTTTGGTGGAGATGGTATTATTTTCCAAAAGAAGAACGTAAATATTCTGAAAAGCGTTTGCTTGTGATTACCAAAACACCACAGGTGCCCTTTACTATGTTTGTGGGGGATACCATTAAAATAATTATTTTGCTGAATAACAAGTTTATACCATGCACCAACAGCATAACACACTCGGCTGAGATTATATCTAAATGCCACGATTATCAGTAGCAGTACGAATTGAAATGTCGCGGATAGTGGTTTGGAACGTTTGCCAGAACCGTCGGTTGTACACATCACACCACCATCAAGTTCATGAGAAGGACTGGATGTCCGTCTGACAGCCACTGAACTTAGGGCCTGTTCGATTATTGCGAAACTTGTTTTGGTTTCTGAAACTGGTTTCCCCTGTAAAACGAGTGTTTAGTTTCGGATACATGGTTTCAAAGTGAAACTAGTTTCTAGTTTTCTAAACGAGTGGATGGTTTCACCTTTCGGTTTCAACATTGGTTCCAAAACATATGTCTCAGTTACTATATATGTGGAACGAATTGAATGACAGCATTGCCGAAGGTAATATTTTTTGTCATTTTATCAGAGAATTAACAAATAATAAACAGATGAGATGCTTTTGGAGGTAAATATTTGCATATATGTAATCATACTGTTACAAGTAATTATATGTATACAAGTTACATAAAATAGTCATGTTCAATAGACTGAGGTTTTAAATAATATTTTCCTAGTTCTCAGAACAATGTATGTTTGCTTACCCGTCCTTTCCTTTCGTTTCCGCCATGTTTGTTGTGAGAGAACGCGAAACCGAAACTGCGAAACCTGCCTCGGAGATGGTTTCGAAGTTTCAGAACCCAGTTTTAGGTTTCGATATAATTGAGTGCATGGTTTTCCAGAAACCAAAACCGGTTTAGCATAATCGAATAGGCCCTTAAGGAGCGAGAGTGACCACCGGGCAAAATGACCATCACTTGCGCTGTCTCCATCCAGCTCGATTCCCTACATGGGTACTTTGGTGAAGCTCATTTCTGGTGTCCCTTGCTGGAATATTGTTAAAAGCGGCGTAAAACCACACTCACTCACTCCCTGAAACAGGTGGGATACTGAGCAAGTGTTGACTTCCTATTTCTAACGAGTACCATATTAATGTCAGAAGACAAGATCGAGATAAGTGTAGTTTTTTTCGAAACAGATTGATTAGTAGCTCAAATGTCTTGGGTCGGAGGGGGTGGGGTGTTTGAGGGGGTAGCCTGGCTTTCGCTCGTCACGCCGAAGACCCGGGTTCGATTCCCCACATGGATATAATGTGTGAAGCCCATTTCTGCTGTCCCCCGCGGTGATATTGCTAAAGGCAGAGTAAAACTAAAACTAAACTCACTCAAATATCTGAAACGTAATCATGTACTTTGTTGGTTTAACAATAGCAGTTACTCTATTATATCGACTGGCTGGACATGGCTGGACAATAAAACCTGATAGAGCCGCATGCGTCCAAAACTTCCCTGTAGGGCAGCACGGTCAAGGAAGTGACGTAACTTGGCACTCAGACATGATATATAGGATTAAAACTTTCCTTGTTCCCTGTTTCCCTAATGCAAGGCTTTTCCTTGGCCGAATATTAGTTTTGTTTTGTTTAACACCACAAATAGAAACATTCGCACTTGATGGTGGTGAGCGAATATCCGAACACTGGTTAACCGGACAGTCGTGTAACAGACATCCTGAGCATCGATGCTCTCATCTGGGATGTGATCATACATCAACCACGTAAGTCACCTTTAAATCAATCCTGGGCAAGAGGGAGTCTGCATATGTTCTATGCTGAAATCAACAAGGGGTTGACTAAATAGTTATGAAGAAACCCGGCACTAATATTTGTCTAATGGTTGCTGGTAGTTAAAGTTGTTGGTTTTGAAACGATATCACCCCCAAAACTAAATCCAGTCTAAGTGTCACAATACCACTCGCAATCAACTGAACGGAACACCTAGATTCTACTTGCGGTTTCGGTTTTTGGTTGCGGAATATGAATTCGTCCCCTGTTTAGGGTCCCCCCATATTTATGATACAGAAACGTACCTGGTGTACATACCTGCGATTCCCATAGACTCGCATGTTAATTAACTCTTGCTAGTGTAATTTTCATAAATTTGGTTTCGGTCGAATTGCTTTCAATATTTATCTACCAGCTGGGAAATCATCTCAGCTACATATACATAATTTCCATTCAATTTTCCAATGTTTATTAAGAAAACTGCAACTATTCAAACAACATGTATTAGACATACCAATCAGGTTTAACATGGCTGTCTATGGGATAGATGTATGGTGCTTAATCAGGTGTCATTCCATAACTAATCAACGGAAAGATGAAAGAAAATTATGTACAATATTTCAACATCAGCTTCACTAAAATAAAATTTAGAAATGTCACAGAGTTTTTAACACTGGTAACGGAAAATTTGAGATTGAAAGATGATGGTAACGGATCATTTTGTGTTCATTCAGGATAAGGAAGTGAGTTGTTGCGTTGTATATATAGAGAATACTACACGAGGTCTCATTACATACGAATTATACGAAACGAGTGTCCTTCCTGTGGTATCTGACCGAGCGAAAGCGAGGTCAGAAGGAAGGCCACGAGTTTCGTATAATTCGTATGTAATGAGACCGAGTGTGGTATTTTATTTATTACCCACGTCTTACATGCATTAAACTGACAAAAATAGCGTATTTTTGTTAATATTTTGGTTTCAAACCGAAACCGGTTTCATAAAGGGGTTGTGGAAGAGTTTTGTACTGTAGTACAATATTTGCATGACGTCACACCAAATGACGTCACTGCCTTGGTAACCGACGTCACGATGCATGACAGTTGTCATCGCCTCGAACAGCCTCCTACAGTAAACTACTCCGTAGCACCCCGTTTCTTGATTTGCAGTTGCTTCATTCGGCTAACGTCACTGGTGGAAACATTGCGTTTATGTTTTTCGACGGATATAATGTATCGGTTCGACTCACAATTAAACAGCGACCCGGCAACGTTCTCGATGCTTACATTCCCACAATGCATTTAAGTTGTAGAATGAATGAATTCACGTGTTTGTTATGAATGAAAATATAGTTACGTCAGAATGTGACCTAATTGAGAGGTCATCGGTTATCCAATCAAATCGTTAGAATCTCAGGTCAAGTCGTTACGACACAGGTCAACGCGATACGACACACGTGTGACGTACGAGATTAGTATGCAACTACCCATACGTTGACCACGTGGGTAATAAAAACATTTACTTGGCCAATATAATGGTGTGCATCAGGTAATTTCAAGTCGCCCACATGAACAAGCCACAACATAAGATGATTTCTTCATTATCTCAAGGGAAATTTTGTGTGCATCATGTACAATGTTTAACTAACACAGTCTGTACAAAACAATTATTTAACAATTTATGACTTTACAAGATTATCAAGGATTTTCAGAGTAATATAACTATATAAGTAAAGTGCTTGAACACATTCTTAACTTCTCAGTTCTCTACTACTCAGTATTCACTTGTAAACTAGGAGAGAAAGGAATGTGATGTTAGTGACTCTGGGTCAGCTCATTAATTACATAGGGGCGGACAGCATGGCTCAGCCGGCTCAGCTAATTAGTGTACTCATTGAGTCTGTCTTATGGGAGGTCTGTCTTTTGGGAAGTCTGTCTTTTGGGAGTGAACCCATGCAGCTGAAGATGATTTCTAAGATGTTTGCAAAATATCAAAATAAAATGACTTCTACTCAATTTCTGAAAATTGTTCTTGCAACAGTTTTTAAATTTTTGTCTTATTTGTTCCCATGGATACAAAATCAACAACAAAGGTATATGGTAGCAACTGACACAGGAAGGGTGAAAATCGATATATTGCTGTAAAGATGTTGTCATAATTAGTTGCTGAATATTGGGATGAGTGAATTCCATTGAAGATTGATTTTTTTCAATTTCATTGTTTCTCTATGAAGTATTTTTTTTCAAAAGAAAATATCTCTTTTAATACCTTTTTATAATAAATGAATTTTGGAATTGATTTTTTTATACTACATAAATTTATATGTTTTTGGCAGAGATAATGATTTGATTGCAACAGTTAATTAACATGTAAGTCTATGGAAATTTCACTAATAATGACTCACTTACGGCAGGGGGCGGGTAGTTGCAATGTGTGAAGCCCGTATCTGGTGTTACCCTCCGTGTCATTGCTGGAAAATTGCTAAAAGCGGCGTAAAACTAAACTCACTCACTCGCGCTTCATTCCAGCGAAAACAGATCAGGGGCGTAGCTACCATTATTAAAAAAATCCCGGGCTTACACATGTTTTTTGCGAAAGATCACCATGAAAGTTGGGCAAGCCGCTTTATATTTTTGCTATCGGGCTTGAAAACACGAATCGTTCCAATCAACGAACGTGTGATGAAGCCGCGTGACTGTCATGTGACGAAAACAACATGGCGGAAGGCACGAAGTATTAGCAGGAAGCGTTTACTTCGAAGAAAAGCTGTCAGTGAGTGAAAACAAACAACGCCATGATTTGAAATATGTTAAAATGTCTGTTTTGTATATGAAAATAGTCATCTAGATATACTAATTAGTTTGGTTGTATTGTGACGATCAGCAAGGAATTATTCAACCAACCTGTTCAACCTGATAACTCGCCTACTCGGGTCAGGTTTTATGTAACTTTGTAAGCTTGCGTATGAATTGACGCATAGAATATGTTCGCCCACAACCCTAACCCAGGAGGCGAACATATTCTGTAGTTACACCCAGACATTATTTCCTGTGAATGTCACTGTTCTGTTTGTGAGTAACATAAACAATGATTCATACATGGTTCGTCAAACGAAATATTGTTTTATGCAGTGTTTGAAATAAGCCAAAAACCCATCCAGACATCAGGGCTGGTAACTTCAAAATGTTACCAGATCAAAATGGATTTAACCAGACCAGACATTACAAAGAAAATAACTTTAGTTACAATGAATAATTTAATTAACCTGAATCTGAGACAACGTATTTATACTGTCTTACAGTCTATTCACAACAGTCATTTTCAGAAAATAGTTTTTATGATACGGTGAATTTATTCAGATGTATGAAACATGTTATCTAAAATGTTTCCCTGACCATCAGGTCGGCTAGCTGTAAACAATGGTAAATTTAGGTCGTCCATCAGAAATCAAGCCCATCTCGGGTGGTCAGACGAGCCTTATTTCATGCACTGTTTCATGAGAGGAATAATTATAAGTTCACAAGTCACCAATGTTCACATTTCTTTCTGACAATACTCACTTGTATTCCTGCGCTTAACTAATTGAGTAAAGATGAAGCTTCTGTAAACTTTAGTGTATTTATCATGTGTATCATCAGATCACATTTTAAATAAAAATGATCAAAATAGATTCTTCCTGGGTCTGTGATAAAATGGTTTTTAATCAGACATTTTGCACACAACCCTGGGGGCCTATGGCATGTGTACAATGGATGCCCAGGTAGGGTCGGTATTACAGGACCAGGTACACGGGTAGTAAATTTGGATTTGTTGTAGTCCTAACTGATTAACAGATAAGCTGCGTATCTGCGTAAATTACGCAAACATTTATGTGAAAACTCAATTCCTTTCAAGTCTATTGTGTACAAGTGCGCTTGAATTTTTGTAAATACTCAATAAATTTGATCTAAGGTGCGTACACACAAAGATGTCAAATCGTTTTTTTATCGTTTTGTTTTTCTATTTAGTTCCATCTTTTGAAGTTACATTTTTCATCCATTCTGAACATTCATAAGTTAAGTGTGCATCAGACTTTATGGCTATTGTTGTAAATGTATTAGCAACACATACATAGACACACATACAAATAGACATACATTATAACATACACATATGGGATGTCAAATCTTAGCTTGAGTGCTGTAACATTCAGCAAACCTACTAGAATGTGAAGTAAGCAGACCCATGCACTACATATGGAGGTTAATGAGGAAAGATAGAATAACTGAGGTATATTGAGAGGTTCTATTTCAGGACATGAACTTGGCAGCTGCTGCAGTCTTTCTTATCAAATATAAATAACACACACGATAACCTACATTTAAACTTTATTCTATTTTCACAAATAATGGAAAATGGCAAAATACCCAAATTGAGTTTGAGTAAGGTGGGTATAATTTATTTGGATACTCAAAGGAAAATTAGGATACCTAATTGAGATAAACACAAGTAGCGAGTACATAACTCAATGACCCAAAAGTTATCTGTCCTAATATGTACACATATATTTCTACAAACCCATGAAGATTCAGGTTAGAATTATCTTCAGCAACCCATGTTTATCCTAAGAGGTGACTAAAGGGTGGTCAGCGAGTCTCACTGACTTGGTTGACACAGGTCATTGTATCCAAACTGTGAAGATTTCATGCTGTTGATCACTGGATTGTCTGGTCCAGACTTGATTATTAACAGCCATATAGCTGGAATATTGCATACAGCATTTAACAACAAACAAACCCATGTTGCAAATAAACCTTTTGGTCTCATCACCTGCAATCCATGTTGCCTGATCCTCTCTCAAACACCAAACAAATCATTTCAACAACCATTTCAGTGGTTGTATTCACTTACATTTTTCATCAGGAAACTGAACATTAAATTTGCTAACCAGGGAATGTGTATAATTAATAGGGCAGCAGAGTATTACCGGTATACTGGTATACCGCAATACACTTTTCAAACAAACATATTGCAATATTATTTCTGAGGATCGGTATATTGGGTAAAGAACATATATGAAGTTTTTGATTATCTCGATGGTTTAAATTAAAATCTACACATACTTTCATTCACAACAAATGTTTTCCTTAAACGTTATTCAATGACAAAATGGCATACTGTAATGCTATAAAGTGTAAATAACACTGTGCAACCTAAGTTTGAGATTGCTGTTATCAGAACCTTAACATACATGTTTAGGGACTTATAATGTAGAAAACATTGATTGACATGCACATTTAGCGTAACTCACTGTCAGACACCTTCGTTTTGCCCCAATATGTATCGAATGCGGTATTGAATTGCAGTGTATTGCAAATATATTTGATTTAGTTTATTTGCCAATACACAGCTCTAATATTTAATAAAGAAGTTCTTATATGGGATACTCTTCACCACAATTACATCAACTTCTGTATGGTACAAAATGTTCATGTTTCATCAAGTTCATGTTTCAGTGTACAATCTCAGACAATGTCTCACTACTGAGATGTAGTTCACTTGTTTGTAATGTCTGGCTCTGCATTAATGCATTTTTAGTGGAGTCAGTATAATGTGTCTGAGTGGGGTATTCATGCTTCAATTATCTCCAGTGAGCTAGCACTATAAAACCAGCTTCAGTCTGTTAGTACAACATGGCAACACATACACAAGCATGCATATCATCATATGAGTTTGGTTTCTCAAGCACGCTTTTAGCAAATTTCACATCCTGAACTAGAGATGTAGTTCACGTTGTATTGCGTGTTGTGTGTATTTTTAATGTCAGCAATTGCTTTGTTTCACATGGCTTTCCCATCAAGAGTAAAACATCCTGAAAGATATGGTATTTTACATTCAACACTCAAACATCTACAAACCCTGTAACATGTATTTTATCCCCAAAATTTATATTAAAATTCTGTATTATAATGTTCCTTTGTTGAATAGTGGAAGAACAATGGCCCACATAGATTGTATATATCATACAGATGGTACAACCATGTTGAACGTATTGTTGTGTAATTTCAGCAGTTGCCATGGTTACTAGCATTTAATGACATGGTGAAATACAAGTGTGTATGAATTCTCTTTATTATTCACCCATTATGTTTATTACAAGGCATCATGACACAGCTGCCTCGTGTATCGATACATATAGTTGTATTTGAGTGATGTGCCACAGTGCTGAATTTCTGATATTTTTGCTTGAAATTCATGTTATTTTATATCACTACTGCTACCACTTCTACTGCTGCTGATACTTTCTGCTATTAGGCTAGACCAGTTTTATTTCTTGTTTTACAGAAGTTTGTCCTCAGAAAACCAAAAGGCAGGAGGGAAAAATCACCAGTCAAAGTAATATTCCTTTTAAATACTAAAAGTATTCTATTGTAGGCCAATTAATTTTGTTTTGTAAGTTTACATTTTTGGCCAATAGAAACATGATGATTTTATTTTTTTAGCTGGGTAATAAAACAATATATATATAATCAATTTACATTGTGTTAAATTCTATTCACCGGGTGATTTGCTGGAACCATTAAAATTGATTATGATTCCTACTCTATTATCATGCATTTGATATTCAATTTACTGTAAAGTATTCAAACCCAGGTGCTTGTGACTATGGTAACACATGCATGGAAACATGTATCATGCATATTATTAATTTTACTGTAGCCTGTTGGTTAAAGTGTCCGCTTGTCATGCTGTAACACCATGGGCAATTCCCACATGGGTACAATGTGTGAAGCCAATTTCTGGTGTCCTCAACCAGACCTTGTGGTTGATTCCCCTACATGGGTACAATGTGTGAAGCCAATTTCTGGTGTCATGTTATGCTTAATATGTACAAGATTCCATGAACATGACGTGAAGTGGAAGACAAAATTATTATGAAAACCCCTCCTATAAATGACCTGAATAAACATTTCACTCATATCTTGTCCCTTCAGTTGGAGGATTTCATCAATGGGAGGTTTTCATCAATAAGCTGCTCTTCATTTTATAATTGTGCATATAAGAAGTCTAGATAAGCTTGGTATCTGCGTGAATATGCATTGAAATTTCCAAAATATGCACTAATATATATCTGTAGCATCCCAAATACACAAAGGAAATTACTGAAATGCTTTAGTTAGTTGTTGATTTGCGTACCCTGACTTACCTGTAAAAAACAAATGTGTCACAGAAGTAGCTATTAACTGTCAAATGTTACGAGTGGTTGGGGTAGATTATCGATTGAATTTCACTATGTAACTGTACAATTTATGAACTACAGAACGTTACAGTCACACAAATGCAGCTAGTTAGATTTCCATGGTTATCTTCAATAAACAATCTGTTGAAATGAGACTATGCTGCATTTATTGTCAGTCGGCAAAGATAAGTTTGTCCCTTACAAGAATGTGGGTTAGCGATGGTACGCCATGTAACGACTATGATAATGCTCTGAAGTGCAAACAATTGGCTGTAGTTATCATATTTAACATTTTTTAAACTACTGACACTGAAAATACACACGTTTAGAAAAAAAAGGTGGGTATCAGAAAATTTGAATACTCACTGAAGATCAGTGGTACCCATTTATAACATGCTATGGGTAAAATACCCAGATTGGAAAAACCTTATCTAGAGCTCTGCATACCATTAAGTGCTGCAATACCCATGCAACAAGGATGGCTTAAAGTTGAGATAAATAAGTTTCTTTCTAATGTGTGTTACTATGGTTACAAGGAGTGGAATCCTCACTTAGGATTATTATGTTTCAGTATATAAGTGTGAAGCCCATTTTTGGTGTCCCTCGCCGTTATATAGCTGAAATATTGCTCAAAGCAGCTAATAAACATACACACTCTCTCACTTATCAGAAAAACTTGAATTTCATTCTGCTTTAATTAAAGTTTATTTATTGTCTGATTCAAAGTCTAGTAGGAGTTTGGTAAATCTTGTAACTCTTCTTCTTTTTGTTTTTCAGATCAGCTCCAACTAGGAACCAAATTCAGATCCTTGAAAATGATAGCTTTTGGAAAATATGTTCTATTTCTATGTATATCATGGCTGCTTCTGTCAAACGCTCAAGCCAGCCCTCTATGGTACAGAAGACATGATCAACACATAGCACCAAAAAGATTCTTTCGAGAATTTCTTCCGAAGTTAACTGAAACCTTCACCCAAAAGTTGCCTGTGCAAGCTGAACCTAGCTCATGGCTACACAGCACTGAATGTGAAGTGTGCAAGCTGTCAGTTAGCTTGGTACAAGTGTTGTTCAAGGAGGGGCACACCAAGGCAGAGATTGTGGATTTATTGGTGAAAGTGTGCATCAGCCTCGGTCTACAGGATGACAGAATCTGTATTGCGATAGTAAGAGAGTTTGAGGTGAGTCAGATCGTACAGTCGTACAATGTTCCGCTGTTCATTTGATTAATCAAGAAAACCCCAATGGTTCTTAAGCATCTGAAAACCCATAATACGAGGATATGTGAGGTGAGGTGAAATTGGGTTTAACTTCGTGCTTGAGAATATTTCGCTCATATGACGACGTGCATGCATGTGTATGTGTATGTGCGGCTGCTTGTACTAGCCCAGACTTAAGCTGGTTTTATAGTGCTAGCTCACTGAGATACCATGCCGCAGTGAAGCATGAATACCCCACTCAGACACATTATACTGACTCTGAGCCGACCAGTCCTTGTTGTACCCATTAATGCCGAACGCCAGACAGGGACCAACAAGTACCATATTTTAACGTCTTTTGATATGACGCGGTCAGTGATCGAACCCGCGACCTTCCGCTGTCAGGGCGGACGCTCTAACCACTACACCACGGAGGCGGTCACGAGGATATGTAAAATGAACACTTTTTATTGTGGTCCATACTGAATTTCGCTAGTTCACAATAAGATTAACCTGAGCACAACAGCAGATTTGTTGATATGCTATTTCTTATGACATGAAGGTGTGTGATTGGCTGGGAACCTCTTTTATGGGATCCACAGATTACCTCACAGTTTAACCAAAAACGTGGTATCGCAAAGGGCGTTAGCCGTTATTGCAAAGGATGATTGTATCATTCTTCATTAACCATTGTGTGATTACATCTTGATTCTGTCCTGATAAATATCCTTGACCCTTTGATGAAAGTATTTTATGATGATGATATTGATGATATTGATTCTGCTGCTAATCATCATTGTGTGGATTTTGTAATTGTCAGAATGCCATTGTTGACAGCTTAATACATAGAGTGACATTAACATACTCTCTAATGACATGATTTCAGAATGAAGTTTTGACAGTCATTGATAAGCTGGTGTTAAAACCCGATGAAGTTTGTGGAACACTCTTTGGTTCAACATGTGGAACGCCATACAATCCCCTGGAATCCTGGAATGTGTCGCTACCGAAAACCCCTAAACCACCGGTAATACCTCCCTCACCACCTCCTGTAAGTATGCATTATGTACATATTAGATTTTTGTTTCCTGAAATATTCTTCGAAAGAAATCACACAATTAAAACTCAAGCTTTTCTTCGATGTTGATGAATGAAGTCCATAAATCTGATTTTTTCTGATTTTTACTGGGTTTAATGAGTATTCAGTATTGAATTGAGTATGCAATAAAAGCCTTGATATGTGCAAATCTGAAAACATTTATATTTTATGACCATTGTAAAATGCAGAAGTGAGGAGTCTCCATGTTTGAACCCTTTTGTAGGAGGGTATGGTGTGGTTGCCTAGTGGTTAAAGCGTTTGCTCATCATGCTGAAGACCAGGGTTCGATTCCCCACATCGGCACAATGTGTGAAGCCCATTTCTGGTGTCTCCTGCCATAATATTGCTGGAATATTGCTAACAAGCGGCGTAGAATTAAGCTCGATCACCCACATTTGAATCATTATTGTGATTCATGGCAATAATCAAGTTGGGCAATATCTCATTAATGCTTCAGTATACTGGCAAACAAGGATAAGTTGGACTGGCACAGAGGACGCAGTTATGAGAAGTAGGCGGTGTACAGCAGTGAGCAAACCCATTTGGTTTGCGAAAGGCAGAACAGATGTGGGCTAGTGCATGTGCATTGCATGTCGCATCCTTGATAATCTCCAGGCTATACATTACGATCACTCTCCACTATACCCTGGATGCATCCACGGCTTGGCCCGATAATTATATTACCTCCCTTTGCTGGCTCCACATACTCACAGTAGCCAATCAGCTAAGCCTCCGTTATATCAGAGCTTGCCAGTGTCAACAAAGATAGCGGTCGCAGTCGCGAAGGTTTGTTCGCAGTGCCACTCATATTTTTGGGGGAAATCATACAGACAAATTGAAAGATCTGAAACTTTAAAAAGATATATGAAAGAACTCCTTCTACCTCTTTCAGAGTACCTCTGCATCAATTGTGTAGCCAAGTTTGAACGGTTAGATAATTTACGAAGCGAAAGTGAGTTGTGATTGGTTCGCTCAACTTCCCAGCGTAGACACCTGATTGGATAAACTGCCAGCAAAGGGAGGTAATAAAATAATCGGGCCAAGCCGTGGATGCATCCAGGGTATAGTGGAGAGTGATCGTAACGTATACCCTGGAGATTATCGAGGATGTGCATGACACTGAAATTGACACCTTGCTCACAAGACTCTCACGTCAGTGTGGCAAGTCGCACTACACTTGATCGCGGACAACCTGGGGCCCATTCGCTAACGCTCATACATGCTAATATGGGTCAATTGTCAGGTCAGTGCTCAACTTATCCTTGTTTGCCAGTATCTGTATGAAGGAAGTGAGATGGTTCTACCAGGAAACTTTGCTGTTTTTTAAGATATCATTTCTGGGTAAACAAGTTCAATAACCATGATAATATGAGGATAAAGTCACTGTTTGAGCATTGCTGACGAAGGATTAGAGATAGGATTTGCTTGTTAACAATTCATGTGACATGTCTATAAGCATTAGGAAAATGAACTGATAATTTGCTTGTCTTGCTTGTAGCATAAACATAACCTGTTCTGCATGTGATAAAGTCTCCAGCAATCTTTGTTTGCCATACCTTGCAATACATTTTATTGTGTATTCAGTTGGTCGCTGTCTGTATATCTGTGAAATATATAATTTGTGGAATAGATCTTGAAAACCATTTTATATTTGTCACTTAAACATACAAGTAGATAAGGTCAGTGAAGATATGTGTTTGTCTGTTTCCATGGCATCCGGTTTTACATAGATTAAAAGGGTGTTACACATGTTAAAGTTAGGATTACACTTACTCCATTTAAGGTCTGGAATATACGTATTAGTGGTGGTCCGATTAAGTGAAATAATCAGAGATTGGTCTCAGTGGCCAAACGACCAAGCAATCGATCACATTTTCTCATAATCGAACACAAACGATTTTGGAACGGCTGTAATAGAGTTTGAAATACTTGATGATGGAACATATCTAGGACGTTGTCAGGGCCTGAAAACGTGTTTATTTCTAAGAAAACTCACTTCACTTTCTGAAAAGTCATGACTGAATATTTCTTGAAGGAGCTGGGAAGTTAATGTTACACTGGAACTGAATTATTTTACACTGGATGTGAAATCTGCAATCAAAAACAACAACAGAGAACCAAATGTTTGTTTTCTTTATACATATCTGCAACTACAACCTGAATAGGAAAATCTAAAAAATGACGCTAACCACTTTTAATGATTGGTCGTTGGTATTGAACCAATCATGAATTGTGAGATTTCAACCAATTCCCAACACTAATACGTATACAAAAAGTGAATATCGTAAGCATTAATATAGTGGTTATGGTTGTACCTATTCAGGTTAATAGTAATACTAAGGTGAGTCAAGTATGTACACTAAAGGCCTCAATTATCTTTGGATGTGGTTATAGGTCTGGTATATACTAGGGGTGGGCGATAATACCGGTTAACCGGTATATTGCAATGCGAACTTACGAGCTATGTTGTGGTATACTTTTTGCGAACCGGTTCACCCGATACGATCTGTAATTTTCTTGATGTAGTCAAAACTACTAATAACATTTGTATTTCTGTTATATTATTATACTACATTTATATTATATATTATGGATTATACTCACCAGAACACATCCCATCTCCACCTGTTGTTGTAGGCAGTCACTGGAAGTTCTTGCCAGTTATGCCTCTTGCGCCAGTTGACTGTGTTTACTCCCAACTGAAGTCATTCTCTTTCTGGGGCGGTGGTGTAGTAGTATAGGGAATGATGGGACGGGACCGCAAAAAGAAAAAAGAAAAAAAAAGAAGGAGAAGACCAAAAGGTGCACCTCCACTCAACATTTGAGTATATAGGGAGTCTTCTTGTGTCTCTGCTGGTACTAGGGCTTGATGATGTTGAAGATGCCTTGCTCTGGAAGTCAGGTTCCTGAAGATTTCTATCAATGTCTCCAAAGACTGTCATACACTAAGGAAACAGTTCTTTATCTTCTTGTTTGTGGTATCTTCAGCAGAAGTATCTAGAACCAGCATTGCCTCTTGGATGTGTTAGGATTGCATTCCCTGGTTACCTCCATTCCTCACAAGACGAAAGCAGTCACTTCAGAGATCATGGTGGCTCAAAGTTACTGCTCCTTAGTGTCCATCATGGAAGAATGTGTTGGGATGTCAGGGATGGTATTTGCATCAACGGCCTTAGTCTGTAGTGAGGTCTGAGGTCTCCTTCAGTTTGGTCCTTTTTCCTGGCTGAACAGCTATCGACTGCAAGGCAATGCAGAGAGTTTTATCTACTAGGGCTGTGCAATATTACTGGTAAACCAGTGTATACCGGTACAGTATCTCACAATGCGAATATTGCAATATGGTTCATATTCTGAAATATATTTTCTGTCCTTGATTTCCAAAGCAACAAATTGAGCTCTAAAAGTATCAAATATACTGTTATTTCTATTGGTGTCATGTAACATTTTACAAGTGGAAGTATCTTTATAAGTGACTTCAAATGTGCCAAATTTTTATTTGGACTTAATGGTAGAGCCTGAGGGCTGGCTCTGAGTGACCATTTCACAATTCACAATATTTTGTTATTTTTGTTTGTTTCATAATGGGACATATGATGTCAATTATCATCAAGGCCTAAGTCTTATAAATTTTGTAGAAGTGTATAATTGCATTCTAGTCGAGGATCTTAGTTATTGGAGGTCACATGAGATTTTAAGCTCAAATAGTTCACCTAAATCATGTTTTTGTTTTATTTTTATATTGGAGTTGAATCTGAATGAATCACTGACATAAAGTAACAATAATTACTTACTGCATTGAAGTTCATTCTGTTAAAGCAAACAACACTGACAATGAAAATCATGTTATACTATTACCTTTATCATTATGTTCTCAAAACTTTGTTGCAATACTTCAATGAAACATTCCATATTAAGGCGCTATATCATTTTATTTATCTGTAAACCATTGGGGACGAGGAGCCAAATGTATGGTCTAACAGCAACTGAGAAGATGATGTCGCACACAGACCTATTATGAATGCATGATGTACACACTGGGCAGAAACTTTCCACTCAATATATCATTAATATGTATTGCAATATCGCTTAAATTATTGCAATATGTCGCAATATGAGAGTCAGTGCAATATACAGCCCTAGTATGTACCCAGTTACCATGGAAACTGATACAATATTTGAAAGATTGCGGAATAAACAATATTAATCCTTGATTGACCTTTCTCTATTCTCTTACTGGATCAGGCTGTCAGGCTTGCTGATTTGGTTGACATATCATTGTATCCCGATTGCGTAGATTGATGCTCATGCATCATTCAACAAGTATACCGTATATTACCGTCTATAAGCCGAATTTGGAGGACCAAAAAAAGCAGTCTGTAGAAGGGGGTCGTCTTATCATGGGATTTGGCTTATAAGCTTATGAAGCGGTAATATACGGTAATCCGCAGCATGGGATATATGTATAACATGAAATATAATATGTTTTAAAATTTGCAAATTTTATCAAACAATTATATATTTATGATACTTACCCTGTCTCACATGATGGATTCTAGCCTGACCAACCTGGCTACACATGTTACAAGTAACTAGATTGGTTCTGTCTTCTATGACAGAAGAACAAGATAAAGTGTTTAATGTGTAGGGCTGCAACGATTCGGTTCGACTCATTGAAAATCAAATCTGACACCTTAGTTTCGATTTTCGATAACCATTATCTATTTTGATTCAGTTTTGAATACCTATTCAAATTATTTCCACACAGCCAGAACCTAGTTTTGACTCCAACTCGAGCAGTTTCGAGCGCTGAAATGTGACAAAACGTGATTGGTTGACGTTGGGCCAATTATCCAATGAGAATGGTTGCTAGTAGACATTGCCAAGATTTCATGCTAAAAAAAGCCGGCTCTGAGAGGTAAATGAAATCTGATGTTTTCACTTGTATGAAGAATCGAATCGAAAATGATCGAATCCAGTGTCCAATATCGATAATCGAATCGAATCGAGGTCGGGGTGAATCGTTGCAACCCTGTAATGTGAAATAGGATAAGTATTGTTAATGGTTCTTAAAACAGAGCCATCCCTACTGATCAGTTGTCATGAAATAGAAAAAAATGCTGGTGCAAAACATATACACCCTTAACTCTTTCATGTAAGCTGACATTGTTACGTCATTGAAGAGCACGTCTCATTGTTGCAATGCAGTGGTTGTTAGGCTCACAGCTTCAAGCAAATCAGTTGTAACTGTTTGGATAACAGCAGTTTGAAAATTTAAATGTTGCCAGAAGGGATCCCCGAAGCTGCGAGTACTCCACATCTCCGACATCCACTTTGACTCCTTCTACCAGCCTGGAGCCAAGGCAGAGTGTAATGAACCTCTCTGTTGCCGTGCCAATGATGGACAGCCAGGTAGGTGACGCATAGTGTGGTATAGTATAACCATTGAATATGTTTCACAGTAAGCAGGGCTGCGTAATATAACCGGTTTACTGGTATTTACCAGTTCAGACATGAAATCGATACATATTGGGATATGCTGATAAAAAAACGGTATTTCGACATGCATTCGGAAAACTTTGTAACACTCGGAAGCCTTTGGATATTTCCGTTTTTCAGACCGGAAGTTCAAGTTAAGTTCAGTTTGAAGTTGTGTTCTTAATTTTTGTTCAAGTGTTTCGCAACGTTTTGGATCTGAATGTTTTAAATATTTACTCATTAATGACCAGGGATCTCTGATATGTCCTGACCAGGTCAAGTTGCTGCCTGAAATCTCAGCGCTTTTTTTTTGAGAGAAGAGAAACTAGTTCAAACCAGTAACCACTGTGTTGTTGTAAAATTGTTCTTTTCCTTGTTTCATTTGTGCCAAATATTATTTATTTTGTCATGATTAAAAGTTTTTATTGAAGAGTAATCAAGCATAGTGATTTTGTTGTATTTTTGCTTTATAAATCGAGCATTAACTCGATTATAAGTAGTTTTTGGTAAAAACATTTCTTGCAATATATTGCAGTACATATTGCAATATATGCTTTCACATCGCAATATGAAAATTCTCTCCAATACCCACACCTAACAGTAAGCATAACATTATCATATTTCCTCAATTCACATAGGACTGCAGAACCTATGTTTATATACAACACCCTTATAATGAACTGGCAGATATAAGATACAATTTTGACCTAGATCCAGGAGAGTCTGGTGCAGGCCAGTGGGGAGACTACAGGAACTGTGACACACCCTTGACCACCCTTGAGAACCTGTTTGAGCATCTGCACAACAGGTCTGCAGAGGTATAATCTTTTTCATATTTCTTCATGTTTGTCATACAAATTGTTTGAGGAGGATAGGGCGGTTATGTGTGACCTGGCAGTTGTTTGTCATACATCCATTGGCATGGCTCTTTGGTCATGCTGTCTACAGGCTCCTTTGCAATAGCTGCATTAAACAAAATCATTCACTCAGTACTGTAACCCTTTTGTCTAATGACAAATAATGGTTCAGTAGTGCCTGGCAAAAAGGTTCTTTTCCCCTCAGCACTATAACTGTCATAGTTCTACACTGATGCTCAATGAAAACACATATTAAAATTCAATTGAATGACATGAAATATATATTTTGCAGTAAATATACAGTTGTTTGACAAAGAATGATAACTTTGTGTTAAAAAGACATTTTCACTTTGTGTTAAAAAGCCATTATCTCATGCCTAAAACCACAGAGCAACTTTGTTGCCATTTTGCCTATATTATGTTTCAGTGTGTATTAAACAATGAGAATTACATTCAATGATTGCAGCTTTTGTAGAATGCTTTGAGGAGTGAAGCCTGGGTTTCATAAAGGTTTGTGTGAATGAAGTCACCGGCAACTTGGTGTCATAATAATATGATAACTGAATAACCCAGCAAAAATGACCAAAGGTGGACAAACTTAGAATGGCTCTTTATTCTGAATCAGGAATCCTAGTTACAATATGTCTATCCATGCAACCTATGCTAGTTGTGGGCAGGGTCTGTAACTTGGCTGATGAGATACATTGTTGCTCATGCTTTCAATCACTGGATTATCTGATGCAGAATATTTATATGCAACCCTCATATAGCATGCATTACTGAGAAAGATGTTTTAAGAAAAGCGTAGAAACAAGATTGAATTTTAAACCATCTCTCTATAAGATCAAGGCCCCATTCCTCAAAGCGATCATAGCGCTACGACAGTCGTAAGTCTATGTTAAACTATGGGAGTTACGATCATCTTAGCGCTATGACCGCTTTGTGGAATGGGGCCCAGGTTCCTGTAGAAATCAGATCAACCTGAAGCATCCTTTACTGTGTTGGGATGGTCAGTGTTGGCTGCAGAGGGTCTCAAGGTCTTGACCAGAATTGTTGTTTTGAATTTACTCAATGAAGATAGATTTAACATGTTTAATGTGATTGCAGATAAACATATTGTTGAGATATATGTGGTTTGATTGTTTGTCTGACTTGTGTTCCAGTACGACTATGTCATGTGGACAGGCGACCTCCCAGCTCATGACATATGGAACCAGTCAAGAGGTGATCAGTTGTCTGCCCTTGACAGACTCACCCAGCTCTTCAAGAAGTACTTCCCCAACAAAACCATTTACTCCGCTTTGGGGAACCATGAGAGTGCGCCTGTCAACAGGTTGGATGAGGGGATATTACCTTCACTAGTGCTGTTTAGTGCTCACTATCGATATAGATAATAGACATCGATAATCGGTAACTAAGTATCGATCGATTATCGATAAATTCTGGAGATGTAACTTTGAGGAAAAATGCCATAAATGGATGAAAGAAGTAAATATGTTTCACATCACTCGTGAGTGGTGACATGTTTTTGCATGGATTATTAACAAAACAGCATCCTGAACACAAGTTAGAAGCAGACCATTACTATAGCCCTAAATTTGTGTGTTGTGTCAGAAAATTAAAACTTCAGATGAGAAATGATATTATTGATGCAATTTTCATATTGATAATGATTAATAATATTTAGTATCAATGATACTTCTGATAATCGATCAATTTAGCCAGTCTTAGTGCTGATGTACTATTCCTCTCATGGTGAATCAGAGCCACAAAGTTTCAGGATTCAGATGTTAGTGAAATTTCAAAATAAAAGTGCCTGTTTTGGGCAGCAAGTGACATGACAATCAGGTTCCTTGGGTGGACAGTAAGTAAATGTACTAGATATGTACATGTTTAGGCCATTGATACTTGTGTTGTGGAACACCATATTTGATTAAAGGGGCATAACTCTTCATTTCTTTAGATTTTCAATGGTTATTACTACTTCTCATTTATTAACTGTAACTGTTTCATAAAATTGAAACCAAAGTTGCCCCAGGCCTATTTGAGCTACTGAGCCTTAGGAGTATTTCTGAAACAGTTTTGACAAATATTTTACGTTGGTGTTTAACTTGGTCCTTCTATATGGCCCCGTGAAGATCCGAGTTGTAACTGGTCCTCAGCAACCCATACTTGTTGTAAAAGGTGACTAACGGGATCGGGTGGTCAGGCTCGCTGACTTGGTTGACACATTTCATCGTATCCCCATTGCGTAGATTGATGCTCATGCTGTTGATCACTGGATTGTCTGGTCCCGACTTGATATTTTCAGACCGCCTTCATATAGCTGGAATATTGCTGAGTGTGGCGTTAAACAACAAACCAACCAACCTTCTTATTTGATAATACATAAATAATACCATTTTAAAATCTGAATGAGGACAATTTTCCCTTTTTTGACATTCCACAGTTTTCCTCCCCCCTTCATTACCAACAACAACTCCATCTCTTGGTTGTACAACGCCATCGCTGACAGCTGGCTCAACTGGTTGCCACAGGACACCAAGACAACCATCCAACAGTGAGAACATAACTGATTATTTCATGGGTACTAACAAGTCGGCATCTTGAAGATTTTCTCAGAAACCAGTTGGTCAGTGCCACATTCGGTACACTGCAGTCATACCCATCATTATTATTTTTTTATTACCATTATATCTGTATATAGGAGTCGCTAAATGGCTGAAATAATGCCAATGCAACATAAAATTTTAACTCTTTCACTTGTACTACACAAACAAAACAAAGAAACAATTATTTTCATGGAACTGGTTAATCTGTTATGACTTATTTGTAATGCAACACGGAGCCTTCTAATTGTCAATGATCTTTTAGGCACGCTAGGGTATAGTAGCCTAGTGGTTAAAGCATTTTCTCGTTAAGTCGAAGGTTTGAGTGTGATTCCCAATACAGGTACCATGTGTCCCATGCTGTGATATAGTTGCAATAAAGCTAAATGAGATGTAAAATCATACTCACTCATTCATTCAATGATCTTTAACTTATTTTGAGTAAAGGAAGTTATTTTGAGTAGTGTATATTGGATAAAAGTTCATATTAGTTTATCTTAAAACATACTTAAGGAAAATTCAGATGTTTACTATTTGATCTTTAGTGTTGCAAATTAGAAATAGCCTTGCCTGTTTGCCTAGGTGCTGGCTTGAGGGAGGATTGTATCCAAGAAGTTCAAATCATCTTAACACCTTAGGTTGATTCCACTAATATGTACAATATGTGTATTCTGTTTCTTGTGACCGCTGCCATGATGTTGCTGGAATGATGGTTAAAGTGATGTAAAATATAATCCCTTAGTTTCCATGAGCTGAACATGGATTGTCAGGATTGTTTAATTAGTTGACACATGTCATCGTATCCAATTTCCAATTGCGTAGATCAATGCTCATGATGTTGATCACTGGATTGTCTAGTCCTGACTTGATTATTTACAGACCAGTGCCATATAGCGGGAATTTTGCTGAGCACGGCGTAAACAACAAACAAACAAAACAAACTATGAGCTGGCGGGACTATCTGAGATTGATGTGTATTTTGTTTTAACAGAGGCAGCTTCTATCAGGTGTCTCCTTACCCAGGCTTGCGTCTTGTGTCCATCAATACCAACTATTGCAACAACCAGAACTGGTAAGGATTAAGTTGCCTACAAGCACATAATGGATGTCCTTACAATTCCTAATTCCTGGAGACCGCCTCTGTGGTGTAGTGGTTAGAGCGTCCGCCCGGAGAACGGGAGGTCGCGGGTTCGATCCCCGACCGCGTAATACCAAAAGACGTTAAAATATGGTACTTGTTGGTCCCTGCCTGACGCTCGGCATTAATGGGTACAACAAGGACTGGTCGGCTCGGAGTCAGTAAAATGTGTCTGAGTTGGATATTCATGCTTCACTGCGGCATGGTATCTCAGTGGGCTAGCACTATAAAACCAGCTTAAGTCTGGGCTAGTACAAGCAGGCGTACATACACATACACACGCATGCACGTCGTCATATGAGCGAAATATTCTCAAGCACGACGTTAAACCCAATTTCACCTCACCTTACCTAATTCCTGGTAAACTGTCAGTCAAATCCTTCTCCTTCTGTTTTCTTACTCAGAACAATGTTTGGAAAAAACATGATCGAAAATACATTACACATGATAATGAATGATTTTGAATGTTTGATTAAATATTGACTAACATGACAGCCAAATGACTAACAGTTAATGTGTGTATGTAATTCTATACATTGATTCTGCATGTTATTTGATAGCTTATGGTTACACAGAACACACAGAAAACAAATACTCTTGATCTGGACTGCTTGCTACGTAGGATGCGGCTGAGGATGTGCAAGTGATGTTTAGTTGTTTGATGACTATGCTGTGATTGATCATATCTGAGTAGTATACTTGCCCTGGTATGCCGAGAATCCTGGTGTTTAATCATAGAAATAGTTTGATAATATCCCCAGATCTGTAAACCTTGGACTCGTACAGACGATTTCTATGAGAAGACACCAAGTCCCCATGCTCTAGTCTTAACATAAAACATTGATCCTTCAATCTCTAGGTGGCTGCTGCTGAACACGACCGACCCGGCCGGCCAGTTACAGTGGCTGGTGGACGTTCTCCAGGATGCTGAGATGAAGAAGGAGAAGGTCAGTACTGGGAATCAGGGCCTAGATTTTCGAAGCTCTCTTAGGACTAAGATAGTCGTAAGTTAATGTTGCATGGTAGCCTTAGTGATCGAAATAAAGGAAAGGGGTGGTTGGGTAGCCTAGTGATTAAAGCGTTATTATTATGCAGAAGACCAAGCATTCGCTCGTCATGCAGAAGACCGGGTTCAATCCCCACATGGATACAATGTGTCCTCCACTGTGATATTGCTGGAATATTGCTAAAAATGGCGTAGCACTACACTAAACTCATTCACTCACTCTTGAGGAAAGCAGACATGTGAATGGCCTTTCTGTTGTGCTTATTATGTCAATGTTGTAGAGTTGGCATAATTTGGAAAACTAACTGTGACACGTTTTAATGTGTACTAATTATACTTGGTATTAGTGTGTGAAATGATGTTTCTCTTTGGTGTGCCAAAACTCTATGGCCCTGGGTTTGAATCCCCTTGTCACCCTGCTTGTGTTGGTTTGTCAGCACCATCCTTCCTTCTGTGCCTCACTAAAGCAGTAAGTGTCAAAGACCTGTGTCATTTGGGGGTTTCCTCCTCCATCAAGCTGACACATTGCTGTATGTCTGAAACTATTCAGAGTAGCATTGCGTTGACCAAACTATCGACTCGCTGGATTGGAATGCTGACAATTAGTTCACAGTAAATGATCTCTTGCAGAACAGTTTGTCATTTCAAAAGGTTTGGAACCTTATCACTGTTGTGTGTGATAATGATTTATTACCGTTCATGTACAGGGCCTCCTTTCACAAAGCACTAAGGTGACAGTAAGTCACTAAGCTAACCTTAGTGCAGTGTAAAAGAATGGGAGTTAAGGTTAACCTTAGTAAAGGTTGCTATGTGAAAGGAGCCCCAGGTAAATATTTCATACTTGACTCATGCATACTTGACTCACGTACGTGGGAAGATATGACTTGAGTAAGGGACCGTTTATAATTTATGGCTGGGGGTGGGGTGTGGGGTGTGGGGTGTGTGTTTGAATGATTTTATGGAGAAGCATGTACAATGTGATTGACCCCCTAAAATTTATATACAAAGTCAGTGACCCCCTGCATGTCATGTACAAAGTCAATGACCCCCTCCCCTTTTCCATATTTTTAAAGCATAATTTTTAAATATTTTTATGTACAAAATTGCTGACCCCCCCTAGAAACGTGTACAAAATTGATGACCCTCCTACCTCCCCAGAACAAAATGGGTGACCCCCACCCCCCCTTAAAATCATCATCACTACCCCAGCCATAAATTATGAACGGTCCCTAACCTCTGTGGGAAGAGAATGGCTGAAACATGGCTGGCAGCTGGCACTTGAAATGGGAAGTGCATTCATTTGGTGCCCTGTGTTAATGCAAAACTGTGGAGTTCTTATGTGAGTACAGAGAGATGGTTTGCATGCTTTGATTGCATGATTGCATGATTGTGTGATTGTATTGTTGTATGATTGTATTGTATGATTGAATAGGTATATGGTATTGTATGATTGTATTGTATGATTTTATAGTTGTATGATTGTAAGGATGTATGATTGTATGCTTGCATGACTATGATTGTATTGTATAATTATATTGTTGTATGGTTGTATTGTTATATGACAATATGGGTGTACGGTTGTATGACTGTATGGTTGTACAATTGTATGATTGTAGGTGCATATTCTGGGTCATATGCCCCCTGGGATCAGTGATTGTCTGAAGGCTTGGAGCTGGAACTACTACAACATTGTAAACAGGTGATAATGAATGTTCCTTTACAGTGTTGTTAGATTCACTGCCTTCTATCTATCAGTACAATTGCAGCGTCACATTAAAAGGCACATTATGTCAAGTTACGCACATTAGCATGACATTAAGAAACACATGATATCACATTAAGAAACACTTGAGCATCACATTATTATAAGAGGCACATTATATCACATTAAGAGGCACATGGTATCACATAAGGCACATGATATCACATTTAAAGGCACATGATCATCACTTTAAGAACCACATAACATCAAGTAAAGAAATGCTTGGGCATCACATTCAGGTACATTTGAGGATCAGATTAAGAAACACATGATATCACATTAAGAAACACGAGCATCATCGTAAGAAGCACATGAAGTCATTTTAAGAAACACATGATATATTAAGAAGCATTTGAGCATCATTAGTATTTTGTTGTTGTCTAAAGCTGCACTCAGTTGCTCAGCTATTCACCTACACTTTATAGTCAATACATACTGCATCAGTATCTATATATCCAGGTAGTGTAGTGCAATGAGTGATGTGTCTCACTGCATGATTAATGGCACACAAGATTAATACTTAAGACACATTTTCGGTGAAATATATGATCAATTTTCATTTTTGACTCAGCTTACTGAGAAGAGGTCCTCATTCTTTCTACTTTGGTATAAGCTTTTCTGACATTTTTATTGTTACAAATAACCAGATTAAATGTAGATTTCATGGCCATTTTTATTTCAGATTTGAAAGTACCATAGCTGCCCAGTTTTTCGGACACACTCACCGAGATGAGTTTGAAGTGTTTTATGACAATGTCAACTTCACCCGCGCAGTCAGCATGGCGTACATTGTGCCAAGCATCACACCGTACCCAAACTTGAACCTGGGATACAGGATCTATGAGCTGGATGCCAACCGCTCTGGATGTTCTTGGGTAAGAGTTACCTTTCCTTGATATTAACCTATGTTGATCATCCGTCACCACTCGCCCCTTTCCATAATCTCCAAGAAGACTCGTCCCCCTCTCGATGATGTTTATGTTTGAAAGTAGGACAAACCAATCAGAATGAGCGTAAGGACTGAGGTGATTTGATAAAAATAATCCCAGTTACTTAAATCATTTATGTCGTTTTGTGATTGCATAAAATATTGTGAAAGATATATATCTTCGCCTCGAAGTTTCAATTATCGATAACAGGCTAATAGTAAGGGATAATAAGTCTTTTATTGCATCACTAGGAAGCTAAAGTCAGTGCATATGCCCCAATATATATAGTATAGGTCAAAATATTGTTGAAAATGTGTGACATTGTGCCTTTAAGATAATGCGTTATATGTACATGTAGGGTACATGTTTTGCCCTCAGGGTACATAGTGTGATGCCTCCTGTGAATGAGACTACAAGCATCATCCCCTACTAGGGGTATGTAGGTCTTACCATATGCCCCTTGAGATAGCTGGCCAATAATAGTCTTTAATTGGCAAGTAAATCTTTGTCATTTATCACTGCATACCCTACTACTCATATCTTGTGTTGACCCTTTCAAATACCTGATGCGTGATGATCATTGATCAGGATCTGACTTGAATGATTTGTCGGTCGTCCTAACCTGTGGCAGTGATAATCATGATTACAGTCACTGATTTGCCTGGTTAAACATGATGACTACATATGGGCAGCGAGTACATACTGGAAATAGTTGCTGACGATGGCATATAAAACACATTATTGTTTGACACCAGTGCAAAATGTTTGTCATATGTGCATGATGTTTGACATAAGAGTATAATCTTTGACACTAGATCATAATCTTTGACACCAGTGCAAAATGTTTGACATATGTGCATGATGTTTGACATAAGAGTATAATCTTTGACACTAGATCATAATCTTTGACACCAGTGCAAAATGTTTGACATATGTGCATGATGTTTGACATAAGAGTATAATCTTTGACACTAGATCATAATCTTTGACACCAGTGCAAAATGTTTGACATATGTGCATGATGTTTGACGCTAGAGCAAAACGTTTGACACTAGTGCATACTCTTTGACACTAGAGCATAATCTTTGACAATAAAACATAATGTGTGACACATGAGCATAATGTTTGACACACATGCATAATGCTTGATTTTTGATTTTTAAAAATGGTTAAATATTTTAGTTGTGGTTTATTCCAGAGTGTGTTGGATCATGAGACATATATCCTGAACTTGACCCAGGCCAACAGTGCAGGCAGTCCGCCCCAATGGCAGCTGGAGTACACAGCCAAGGTACAGTATACATACCACCTGCACTCGTTCTGTGTGTTCAGTTGATCAGCCTTGCATACACAGTATCCTCAGCCATTTTAAGACAAACTGCATTTGGCAACACCACCTTTGGAATTTTGGACCAGAGTAGGAATTTGACCATGTTCCCATTTTTTGTATGTCTGACCCTTGTTGATCTGGGTTAGAATTGGTCTTCAGCAACCCTTGCTGGTTGTAGAAAGTGAATAACAGGACAGGGTGGTCAGGCAAGCTGACTTGGTTGATGCATGTAATCATGTCCCAGTGACCCGAGAAGGTCCAGGTTAGAATATTGATCTTCAGCAAACCATGCTTGTCGTAAGAGGCAATTAACGGGATCAGATGGTCAGGCTCGCTGACTTGGTTGACACATGTCATCAATTTCCAATTGCACAGATCGGTCCTCATGCTGTTGATCACTGGATTGTCTGGTCCAGACTTGATTGTTTACGGACCGCCGCCATATAGTTGGAATATTGCTGAGTGCGCCATTAAACTAAACTCACTCACTCATCATGTCCCAGTTGAGAATATTGATGCTCATGACATCAATCACTGGAATGTCTGAACCAGACTCTTATTAACAGAGACTATCATGTTGCTTAAAACTTGCTCAGTGTGCCTCTAATAGTTATACAACTTTATATCAAAGCTCAAACAACTTTAGTTTCGTGGCTTATTCTTTTACACTATATTGCATAAAACACCCACAATTTGCCTATAACTCATTGAGTTGAAGTTAAGCGGCGTTGGCCACAGAGAGGTTGGATGGGTGATTGTAGTTGGCAGCTTGACTCCTGAGAGTTTCCTGCCCCACAACAAAGCACATGTTACACATGTGGGATCACCTTAGGCAAGTGTGTTTGTTCAAAATCACCTCTGTTCACCCAGCAGTGAATGGGTACCCGGTGGGATAAGATGGTCATATGACTGTTAACCTTCTAGCACCTCAGAGTCGGCTTGGGTTACCTGGGGTAAAAATGTCTGTGATTTGCGGGTAATTGTCCTCAGCGCCACAGAGCATCTTTTATTTGGATGTTGGATGCTCCACAAATGTATTATTATACTATTTTGCAGAGCACATACAATATGGAGTCACTGTATCCCAAAGATTGGAGTAATCTTATCTACCAAATGAGAGACAACTCCACTCTGTTCCAGACTTATTACAGGTAGGGGAGCGAACTCTGTCATCTGTGTGTACATCACACTAGCAATAATGAAAGATGCTTTACTTCCTATTTTCATGACAGAGGTACAACTTTTTAAATAGTTTTGTGAAAGTATGATGTGTAGCAATTTCTTCACAATGTAATTCTCAACTAATTTAACTTGGTAATGTCTTATGTCTCAGATGCTGTCAGACCATTGCAATTTTCATCTATAAAACATTTTGCATTTATGTTCATAGTTTTAAATTTTAAATTTTATGAAATTCATTAAGTTTACATCATCTAGCTACTCTGGTATGTGAGTCTTTAGCTCTTGAAAGCAATGAGATTCTATCAGGAGATTTCTTGGTAATTCACTGAGTCCTTGGTAAAATATTAACTTAACTTCATATCCATCAGAGTTTGCTTATAACGCCAAAGACGGGTTCAATTCCCCACATGGGTACAGTGTGTGAAGCTCATTTCTGGTGTCCACTCCCTTGATATTCGCTTGCTCGCTCACTCACTCACTCACTCACTCACTCACTCACTCACTCACTCACTCACTCACTCACTCACTCACTCACTCACTCACTCACTCACTCACTCACTCACTCTCTCACTCACTCACTCACTCACTCACTTACTCACTCATTCACTCACTCCATGGTGTAGTGGTTAGAGCGCGGGTTCGATCCCCGGTTGCATCATACCAAAAGACGTTAAAATATGGTACTTGTTGGTCTCTGCCTGGCGGTCGGTATTAATGGGTACAACAAGGACTGGTCGGCTTGGAGTCAGTATAATGTGTCTGAGTGGGGTATTCATGCAACACTGACGCATGGTATCTCAGTGGGCTAGCACTATAAAACCAGCTTAAGTCTGGGCTAGTACAAACAGCCGCACATACACATACACATCATATGAGCGAAATATTCTCAAGTACAACGTTAAACCTATTTTCACCTCACCTCACCTCACCTCACCTCAGTAGTTAAAAACTCGGTAACTCAGGAGTTTAATTAACACTTAACCTAACTGAAACTATTGTCATACTGGTGTTTTAGTAACTCATTGATGTCAGGCCGTGAATTTCTATGGTCTGGTATGCGACTGTATCAAAACCAGACAAAATGGAGAATATTCACCTGTATGATTTTTTCTTGTTTCAGTCTGTACTACAAATCTCATCCCACTGACGCCTGTGATGACAAATGTCGCAGAGACCTGCTGTGCGCCCTCAAGTCTGGGCGGTCATCTGACCCAAAGCTGTGTTCTGACATCTAGATGCTGACCACTAAATATCCTAGGGTGGTGCACCCTTGTGTCATCTTGTGACACATATACACTCAAAGTGGAAACAGCTAGTTTTCAAATTTAATAATCTGAACCAAAAAAGAAGTATGCTTATACTTATGATCAAATAAGTACGAAGTAAAGCATATGTAGTCACCATATCTTTTTCTGGAAGTTTTTCAGGAGGATTGATATGAACCCCAAAAGCTCACTGTTATTTAGATTAATCTGGGGGTTGGGGTTGTAAGGCCTTACAGCTTCTGAACATACTTTGTTTTCAATTCATGGGAATCAGTGGTCATGCATGACATGATATTTTAGGACACAAGATGACTAAATCACCCTGTTTCCGAGTTTCTTGGCCTTCATTGTATGGTTGGTTAGTTGGTTGGTGTTTAATGGCGCACTTAGCAATATTCCGTCTATATGGTGGCGGTCTGTAAATAATCAAGTGTGGACCAGACAATCCAGTGATCAACAGCATGATCATCGTTTTATGCAATTGGAATATGATGACATATGTAAGCCAAGTCAGCGAGCCTGACCACCCGATCCGGTTAGTCGCCTCCTAAGACAAGAGTGGTTTGCTGAAGATCAATTCTAACCCTGAACTTCACTGGTCTCCATTTTACAACTCCAGATGACAATCAGGAATTAGGATATTAAGTCATGTTTTACATTTAAGAAAATATCAGGGATGGTAGTTTAGATCCTGAGGATTAGTTGTTTTCCAATAATTTATATGTTATATTTTCCTCACCACTGTTTTCTGTTGAAATGAAAACTGAAAGTAGTTTCCATGGCAACAGTTTTTGACATGGTTAGGCTTAGTTAGAATGATGTAGTGAGTAGAATATCCCTGAATGTGATAAGTGACAACCAGGGCTCCAGATATAGGCCGTATCGGCGTATGTACGGATAAAAAATACACACAATACGGTAGGAAAAAATATAGCAGATATGCACCGCAGCAATGGTGTACGGTCTTAGAATCATTTACAGACGTATTTATCTGAAAAAGTATTGCTTTATTGTTTATTGACCTGTTTACACAAGACTAGCACTGTTGTGGTGCATATATGAAACGAAACACAGGTTACTGACACGCCATAAAAATTCCATTTAGTACTCTAAATGTACTCTTAAGTTTTTCCAGTACTCCTATATTGAAAAAATAAGGAATACGTACTCCTGATGTTGAAAAATTATCTGGAGCCCTGGACAACCATACCGGTATTCAACTGACATTTTATAATAATATTACATTAGTATTCTATGCTGCTCATACCAACAAATTCATAACAGGAAATGAATGACAATGGGACAGGATCTTCACATGACATCAGTGATCGTCATGACATCCGGGTTTAGATGACTAGCACTCTGTTTGTCATTGTTCTCTTGCTGACTAAGGAGGATGTCAGAGATGATTTCTTTCCTGTTTTCTTAAAAATCTATTCTTCGCTGTTTGTATTTCAAACTGTTGGTGTCCATTGTTTTCTCACATCAGGCCAGGATATTCAGCATTTTCAATGCATGGAAGTGAGAAATCTAAAATGGTATGTATTGTTGTGCCTTCCTGCTGGCCCCCATTTTTTTTGTTGGTGGGCGGTGCAATAGGTATTTTTTATTTTGGAATCCATGTTTAACATGAATGTATTTCATATTGTTGCTTTTATTATGGATATAATTCACTAATCATATATATTTGTCACATGAAATATCCTGAACTGTCCCATAAATGTTTCACTGTGATGTGACATCACGGTACGAATAACTGGACTTGAGTTATGCCATATGCGGAGTCAGGAAATTGGCAAAGGCCCTCACTTCCATTGTCCACATTTTGTGACAGTGTCAAAGGTGTCATGAAAGTGGCTAACTCTGCCAAGAACTGCCTGTGCAATAACTGCCGCAACCCTCCTTCTCATACCCCATGTGTATTGACGTATTCGCTGCATTGGCAAATGGCGCCACACTTGATGCAAGACAACTTCCACTGGCCTCAAATCTGCTACAAGAGGCTCACGTTGTGGTATACGTCACCCAAGATAGTCCCAGATATGTTATATTGGATTGAAGTCGGGGCTCATTGCTGGCCATGAAAGTGTGGTAATGGTTTTGTTCTGGAAAAACGCTGTCACGGCATTGGAACCATGGGCTTAGCATTGCCCTCCATAAACACAGTTCTGCTGGCAAGTGTATGATTGCCAAAATGAGGAACAACGACTGGATTCGGTTCTTCCCGGATGTAGCGATCGCCGTTAAGGTTTCCCCGAACAGTCACCAAGTCAATCTTGCAATCGTATGACACACCTCCCCACACCATTATCGAGCCCCGGCCAAAAGCCACTGTTGGCATGATGTTTCTCTCTGCAAAAGTGGCATTCCTGTGCCTCCACATTCTCTTACGTAGATCGGTCATGTGGAGAAAAAACCCTCTCTCGTCTGTCCTATGAACATGTCGCCCTGTCCGTAAATTCCATCTCCTTCGTTGGACACACCATGCTAAACGTTACCTCCGATGGCGATCTGTTAACAGAGGACGTCTGATGATCCTCCTTGCCCTCAAACCAGCATGTCTCAAACGATGCCTCACAGTTCCCATGGAGATTCGTCAACCAGGTAACCACTGATGTCTCAGTTCGTTGCTTGACGCAAACGGATGTCGGCGCACATGCCGTATTAGGGCACTGTCTTCACACTGTGAGGTCACTGGTGGTCTTTCAGACCTGGGCCGATCTCTGACTTCGTTTGTCTGCCTTCACGTGCTGAAATGATTGTGTTTTCGTGATTAATTCCGATATACACTACTAAAACAGGTTCATAATCATCTATTCAAACAAATATATTCCTAACAAACCACTTCATCAAAGCATTGAAGTGATGTCACTACTTCAATGTGGGGGTGCTTAACTTTTTGTTTTATGTATAGATTGCGTACATAGATTTTCGGCAATATCTAATGCAGGTCATGTCAACAAAAATTTTGCATATTTTACATACTATCCTCCTTAAGGAGTTCCCTCCTGTGGCTGATGTGTTCCTCCCTGCTGTACCATAAGCATATAAGGAAGCTTCTGTAGATGATGACAAACAGGAGGCATGGCTTCAGATGCTGGATGGCATGGAGGTCATGCGGATGATGCTTGGCAAAAGAGTCACGAAAGTTAAATCGTCATTCATTTCCTCTTAGGACTTTGTTAAGAAAAGCAATGTGCAATGTATAATGCAAAATAAGCATATCACTAGACAATACTCTGATAATAATGTACATACTGCTATAAGATATATCCACATTTGCTTAAGAACCTCCACATAGAAGTTTTGTTTTTGTATATAAAACATCCATGAAAGCTAATATTGGGATGCTGTCTCATTTATTTTTTGACATGTACATATGGTAGAATTCACCCCCCTTCTGTCGTTTGAAATCCCACTGCATTTGCTTGCAGTGTTGGAATTCAAGCAACACTGTATGCAGTTGGCTGATGATATTGTTCATGAAACTTTGTTTATCAACTCTTTATGTGTATAATATCAAAATATAGCACTATCTATTTTTGAAGATGCAAAATATCAAAAGGGCCATCTCAACAACATTATTGGATTCTGGGCAAAGAAATGCATTTGGACTTTAAATGCACAGCCACTCACTGGAACAAAAATGTAAATGGGCGATAAAATTAGTTAATTAAACTAGTGCAGTGTCTGTTTACTTATTGAGAGCAAGTCACAACATTTATATCAATTTACATGGGGCCTCTATGCCCATGTGTTGAGATGGCCCTGATTCGGGCATTGGATAAACCAAATGCCATGTAATGTCACTTTTGTTTTCTTTATGAAGGCTGATTTTCTGGTGATATGTTTTCTGTAACCCTTTGTAGTCAACTCCAGACAGTTATAACTTGTTTTCTAGTCATGCTTAGAACAGTTAATTTAACATAATAACTATATGTGATGACAATACGGATATTATTAATGTGTTTTATATAATCTGTTTATATTGTGAAAATATGTCTACTTTGAATTGATTAATGACATTATAATTTTCATGCATTCTTTTATTATACTATATCCACTGTTTAACAGTTAAAAGTCCTTTTTCCTGCAAGTAATACTCATTAATTTAACTCGAAAAGTGTATATTTCTTGCAATATGGTAGATAGTTATTTGTAGGGATGTCACGATACGATACATATCTCAATACTGAGGTCTCGTCGCGATATGGTACCTATCGCGATATTACATTTCTGACATTCTGTGCATAACAAGCAGCCATTACTGGACAGCAAGCTCATACCATCGCTCATCAGTTACCAAACATGACTGAGTATTAGCCAAGTATCCATCAACCACACTCACTAAGTCTAGTCACATTCGGTGGTCTGTGTAACAAAATTACCAGAGAAAAATGTGTTAAGTTCACTTTTGAGAATGTCCACTGTTCTAAACACGATTTTGCAAAATATTCCATGCTGTTTGAAGGTGCTGTTTACACGTGAACTGATGTATTGTAAAACGAATTTGTAACATTGAAAAGATTATTGTCATGAGTTCAATAAATGATGAAACCAGAGTAAAGTGGCAAATTCTTAACAAAACTTTACACCAAAATGCAGCTGTTCACATGCTCGATATTTTCACATGCTTTTCAGCAATTTGATGCATAATACTCATGCAATTCATCTGCATTAGGTTTGCAGTTGCTTCCCCTAAGTTAGAGGAGAAATATATATAATATATAGTGAGTCTAAACTTTTGATGGGTAGTATGAATTGACACTAAAACAAATAAATCATGTACTGCATCATGCAGAGCTTGCTAGCAATACACCAGTGCATCGGTGAATCATGGCATTCCTAATTGTTTATGTCCGTAATGTCCAGACAAGCCATGGCATTCCTAATTGTTTATGTCCGTAATGTCCAGACACGCCATGGGCACTAAATCTAGGATATTACTTGTCTATTCAACTATTTATATGGATGAGGATGTAGATTTGACTTTACCAAGTTTCCTCCCTGATCCAATTTTAGGAATTAATGTGCTTGTGAGTGGATGAACATTGAGATACATACTTGACTAGTTTCTTTTGACATCATTTTCAGAGAATTCAGCCACTGTTCTGTCACTCACATATATCTGTGTATAACACATTTAGATGTGTGCAAATTTGCTCAACTGTTTTTGTAAACTTCAAGAAACCTTCAGATGTGGCTTTGGCAGGTAAAATGATCAAATATTTTTATTTAGTTGAGAAATAGACATGTTATTGTTTTCGAAAATTTAAAGGCATTTTTTACATTTTCAATAATGTAAAACGAAGCATTTAGGCCGCTTTGTCAGTATAATGTATGTGACCTCTTGAGAGTGATAACATTATTATAGAGGCGAGATTAAGTTCAATTTAGGAATTTTGTACTGGTGTTTGTTGCAGACTTGAGGATAATATCAGTGTCTCAGCAGGTTGAGATATATCTGTATGCTGCCACTGTAAATGCAACTTTATGAAACTGGATTCTGCTGTCTGATGATGTTATTTGCTACCTGATTTCTGGTGTTATTCTGAATCCATGTCATCTTGTTTCTACATGGGGATTGTTTCAGAAGTTATTTAAGTTAATGATATACACGATACAAGAAGGTGACAATTTTACTTTGAAAAATGTCGCTTGTTGGTAAGTAAATGACTTGTAAAATGTATAGGGTTCTAGCTTGTACATTTTAAGCTTCCAATAAGTGTTCATTTAAGGTTAGTCATACGTTCATTGATTTAGCAAATGACAAATAGTTAGAAAGGATTAATAATTTGTCTTTATCAGATGTTTTTTACATGCGACAAAACCAATCCCATACCTCTGAAATGATACATTATTTGTCATGGTTCAGCGTCACCTTCACACTTGAACATATTGACTTATGACAATCATAGCACTTAACTTACTTTTGTAAAAGTGACTTGGCTTGTGTCTTTTGAATCCAAATCAAATGCTGGTTCTCTTATCAAAGACCAGTATAAGTAATGTAGTGGTGTATTATTGGCATTTATTACCCTTAAGATAAATTTGTCGAATTCTGATTGGTCAATAGCCAAAGCATACGAAACCATGTAGGCAGATTTGCCAGAGTGTACGAACCGTACACCCGTCAAATCTGTAATGTGACACACTACACTGGTTGTACAAATGACCTTGACCTTAGATGGAATGTGGCTGCCAAAAAGCTGATCGCCTCGAAATTTTGGAATTGGCGTATACAAGTATGAGTGTAAACAGAGTAATATAATTGCTTGCCACAATTTCATATTTGTTTGTGTCAGTTACAATATCAAGAAATATTTCTGTATTTCACTTTGTCCATCAAAGAAAAACCTCAAATTCGATCATTTTATTATAAACTAAGACATCCCGAGTTATCTCCCTTTATGCGAGTGTAGGAAAAATCATTACGAAACAGTTATTATCCCACGCTGCGCGTTTCGAGCGATGCGGGGGATATAGTATTAGGCTCCGTCCGTACGTACATACATACCTCCGTACGTACGAATTGGAA